ATGGGTTTTATTAGAGGGAATTATTTAGATGTTTATGTTGTTGCTATTCTTTTGTTTTTGACGTTAAGTGGTGGTTTGGGTTATATTTTGTGTAAAATTGCTAGATACTCTTATGCTAAATATAGGGGTAGAAATAGAAATTATCAAAGACATTTAAAGCAAAAAGGAGAGTAGTTAGTTGAGCACACGTTTAAATTTATTATCACATATTTTATATATATGTATTTTTTTTTTAAATAAAATCTTTAGCTTTTTGCATGATTAAATGTCGCCTCAAATTTTACAAAAATTCGATTTTTTTTATAAGTTAAGATTTTGAATTTTAGAAAGTATTTGTTTTGAAATGTAATCCGCGGATATCTCATGCGACAGTAATTTATTACAAATTCCGAAAATGTTGCAAGTACTATTAGATTAGGAATTTTAATTTTACAGATATATTAGATATAGCATAACTAGTCAATATAATAGTCGGAAATCATAATTCATACACATATTTTAGCCATTTGTCTTTCCATAACCATAAGTAACTTAAACCCTCTTAATGCGTAATTTATATTTTACTTAAACACGGCAATTGTTACCAATCGACTAACACATCCGTCGCTAAGGCGAATTAGTTATACCTAAATTATAAGAGGTAATTCTGGTTTAACAGTATGCACGTTATCCTTATTTATTTGAATACTTGATTAAATAGCTTTCAAGTTTATGATTGATTGGCTACCGGATTCAGCTCTGAAGGCAACACATTCTGACACGTAATTAAATTTACTTACACACTATACATCTAATAAATAATAGACTTGAAGGCTCGAGATCTGGTTTTTCCTTCGCGTCATCCAAATGCTGTAAATACGTAATTTTTTTCTTTTTAATACTTTAAGAATAATAATCATATATTTAAGTATTCAAAAAATAAAAATAAAAAAGACAAACATTCACAATATTTTATAATTCTGCGAATTTGACTTTTATTCAAAACCCCAATAATTTTTAAAAATTGACTAGTTTAATTTTAGTTTAGACACTAACCCTAACATAAACGAACTTAAACAATTTTATCGATCATCACGTGATCGACAAAAATTTGTTGGCGATACTGGGAATCTACGGACAGTGCATGGGGGAAAGTCTTTGGACGCAAAAGTATCGATTTTGATAGATCTACAGTAGCTTTTTTGATAGATCTACAACACATCCTAAATCTATGTTACGTTATTGATGCATTTTAGTATATATGTAAAAT